GCAGCATAATAAAAACAATAGACCTTACTATAATAATAATAATAAAATATCAATTAGGTACCGTAATAATGACAATAATATACGGAGGAAGAAGAAAATAATAAGAAATAAAATGTAGGCTTTATTTTTTTTGATAAAGAAAGACACTCTAAAAAGGAACCTGGACAGTAATTTTTCGCTTTTCAATTTTCATTATAAAAAAACAATCAATATTTACCAACTTATCCGTAAGTGACCAACTTTTGATCAAAGTAAGAGTTAATTCAAAAAAACAAAAGTGAACTGCTCTTGGCATAAAGCCGGACACATCGCTGAAAATCCCATTCAATTACATTTCTCACATTCAATTTCCATTCAACTTCAGTGTAATTCTCTCTCACCAGAAATTGCTTTTCATTCTTCCTTTATCCCGCTCCAAAACTAACAGCAATATGCAGAATGTATACGGCAAATAGAAAATGAATCGTGGAGTAATATTTATCTCACTCTAAATCTTTCATGGCCTGGTTTTGCCGCTGCAGATTCCCTGCTTGGTGCTCAGGCAGGGGCTTGACCTGGCACAGATGCTCTCCAACACCAATGCAAAAAACATACTAAATCTTATTCTTATGATTAGACCCATTTGTTTAGCCCAACAACAGAACAATTACCCTCAAAATCAGAGAAACCTCAAATCTATTACATTACAGAAGAGGAACAGGCGAGACAAGAGAGCCAGGACAGAGAGAGAGAGAGAGAGCGAGAGAGAGAGAGAGAGAGAGGAGGAGAGAGAGAGAGAGAAGAGAGAGTGGATAGAGAGAGAGAAGAGAAGGGGGAGAGAGAGGGGGAGAGATGAGAGAGAGAGAGGAGAGAGAGAGAGAAGAGAGAGAGAGAGAGAGAGAGAGAGAGATAGGGGGGAGAAGCGAGAGAAGAGAGAGAGAGTAGAGAGAGAGAGCACATAGATCGAGAGAGGAGAGAGAGAGGAGTAGCTGGGGGAGAGAGAGCGACCGAGAGAGAAGAGAGGATGAGAGAGAGAGAGAGATAGGAGAGAGAGAGAGGGGGAGAAGCGATGGAGAGTGGAGAGAGAGAGAGAGGAGATAGAGAGAGAGAGAAGGAGAGAGAGAGACGAGAGAGAGAGAGAGAAGACAGAGAAAGAGGGAGACAGAGTGAGACAGAGGAGACAGAGAGGATGCGACCTGCAGAGACAGAGAGAGAGAAAGAAGAGAGAAGGAGAGACAGAGAGAGAGACAGGAGAGAGACAGAAAGAGAGAGCGAGGAGGAGAGACGGAGAGACAGGAGAGAGACATAGAGAGACACAGGACAGACCGAGGACAGACAGAGAGACAGACAAGAGACAGAAAGAGAGACGACAGAGAGGACAGGACAGTAGAGACAGACCAGAGATCAGACAGAAGAGACAGGAACCAGATAGAAAGACAGAGAGGAAAGACAGGAGACAGGACAGAGAGACAGAAGAGAGACAGACAGATGGGACAGACAGAGAGACAGACTCGAGAGACAGACAGAGAGACGGTACGAGGAGAAGACAGGGAGACCGACAGAGAGACAGACAGAGAGACAGTACATTGAGAGACAGACAGAGAGCAGCAAGAGACAGACAGAGAGACAGAACGAGAGAGGAAGAGAGACAGGGGACAGAGAGACAGGAAGGGAGAGACAGACAGAGAGACAGACAGAGAGACAGACAGGAGAGACAGAAAGAGA